TAGTTTTTAGCTTGGCTGGGGAAGAGAGGCTCAGGAGAAAAAAAAAAAAAAGCTTAGTGACCTTGTGATTCTTCCATGCTCACCCAATGAACTCTATCTGGGCTAGAGTGAGTGCCGTGGCATCAGCCTCGCTCACAGCAACCTCCAACTTCTAGGCTCAAGCAATCCTCCTGACTCAGCCTCCCTCCCGAGTAGCTGGGACTACAGGCATGCACCACAATGCCCAGCTAATTTTTTTCTATGTATTTTTAGTTGGCCTATTAATTTCTTTCTAATTTTAGTAGAGACAGGGTCTCGCTCTTGCTCAGGCTGGTTTTTCGGAACTCCTGACCTGGAGCGATCCTCCCGCCTCGGCCTCCCAGAGTGCTAGGATGACAGGCGTGAGGCTTCATCTCTTAAAAGTGCACTTTGCTATTATCTCTGGAATTTTCCCTCATCTTCACTTTGATGGGGATAACTGAGTCCCTCCGGCACACACACACACACACACACACACACACACACACACACCCCGGCTCAGATGGCAATGAAGTGACACAGTGAAGGGAACACCAAATGTTCTATTCTCTATCCCATCTCGCTATTTTCCCCCATTCTGCTTCCATATGCCTCTTTCTGTCTCTGCCTACCTCTCCCTGGCTGCTTCTCTCTTTCTCTGTCATCCTAGCACTCTGGGAAGCCGAGGCGGGCGGATCGCTCGAGGTCAGGAGTTCGAAACCAGCCTGAGTAAGAGCGAGACCCCCCGTCTCTACTAAAATTAGAAAGAAATTAATTGGCCAACTAATATATATAGAAAAAAAATTAGCTGGGCATGGTGGCGCATGCCTGTAGTCCCAGCTACTTGGGAGGCTGAGGCAAGAGGATCACTTGAGCCCAGGAGATTGAGGTTGCTGTGAGCGAGGCTGACGCCACGGCACTCACTCTAGCCTGGGCAACAGAGCGAGACTCTATCTCAAAAAAATAAAAATAAAAAAGATTGTAATGTGCAGATGATTCACACATCTTCATTTTTAATCACTCCGCTAAATTTAAACTAAGTCTAACGGTTTCACGACGCTGTCTAAAAGACCCAGATGTGGAAGAGACTCCCAACGACAGCGTCTTTTCCTCCCTAAAAAAAAAAATCGTGTTCCAGCACACGCCAAAACCCAGCAGAGGGCATCCTTCTATTTCGGATGCTTGAGCAGCCCAGGCGGAAGGCTCCACCCCTCAAGCCCCGCGTTCCATTTTACAGTCCTGCGTTGGAATTTAAGCAAAAGGGCTCCTGTAGTAGGAGGGGAGTGTCGTTCTGGAGTGATTGCCATTTTTGAAACATATTTTTAGAAATCATTTTCCTTTTATAAGAGCAAAAGAGGAGGGGGGAAAAAATAAAATCTGCTTCTGGGCTTTCTCCAGGTTGGGAGCATTAAGCTTCAAATGACAGACGCAGCAAGGCGGCACCTGTGGGATTCTTCCTCCCCGCCCCGGCTACCAAGTGGATAAATAAAGTGACCGAGGAAAGAAAGAGCTTTAGAGAGAAATACCCTCCTACCTCGTTTGTCTGAGGCCCCTCAAACCGTAAGACGGATAGCAGGACAGGTGTTGCAGACTGTGATATTATCTCAGAAGCAGGAAGATAAGCAGTTTGGCTCACGGATAGGAACCTAAGCGGTCAAGAGCAGGATGTCAGTCGGGTGGGGCCAACCCGGTACCTGCATGAGCAGGCAGTCACCCACGAATTTTAATTGTTGCACTTTCACAGAAACTGAGATTAGCAGAAATGAGAGATGTCTCCCAATGTCAGAATTTTTCCTGAGTTACAAATGGCCAATGTCCACAACCCTTACAAGTAGTGTTCTCCCTGGTGTGGTTGAGTTTTCTTGCTTTTTTTTTTTTTTTTTTTTTTTTTTTTTGAGACAGAGTCTCACTCTGTTGCCCAGGCTAGCGTGAGTGCCGTGGCGTCAGCCTAGCTCACAGCAACCTCAAACTCCTGGGCTCAAGCGATCCTCCTGCCTCAGCCTCCCGAGTAGCTGGGACTACAGGCATGCGCCACCATGCCCGGCTAATTTTTTTCTATATATATTTTTAGTTGGTCGATTAATTTCTTTCTATTTTTAGTAGAGACGGGGTCTCGCTCTTGCTCAAGCTGGTTTCGAACTCCTGACCTCAAGCGATCCTCCCGCCTCAGCTTCCCAGAGTGCTGGGATGACAGGCATGAGCCACCACGCCTGGCCCAGATCCTCTCTTAATGGAAGTACATCTTAGGGACAGACGGTAAGAACAGGAGGAGGCAACGTAGCATAATTTATACATCCATTTCACGTGTTTCCTTGATTTGTAGCAAGTCCTCCTGTTCTAGGCGCTAAGGCTACACCTGCCAACAGTCAAAGATCCCTTTCCTGGAGGCAATGTTCCACAGAGCAAGGGTTTGGAGAGCTGGACAGACCTAACTTTTAAGTTCTGACCCTGCCACTTGGCCAGCTTACACCTCTTGGAGTAAAGGAAGTAATGTTCTCTTTGGCAAAACAGCGATAACCGTTAGTATGTATTGAAAACTTGCTTTGTTCCGGGCACAGGAACGAAGCACTTATATCAGGGGCGTCCTCAAACTTTTTAAACAGGGGGCCAGTTCACTGTCCCTCAGACCTCTGGAGGGCCAGACTACAGTTTAAAAAAAAAAAAAAAAACTATGAACACATTCCTATGCACACACAGCATGTAGCTTATTTTGAAGTTTAAAAAAAAAAAAATGGGCGAAAACCCGCGTGTGGCCCGCAGCTGAGTTTGAGGGCGCCTGACTTATATGTAGATAGCATCTCATGAAATCCTCACCCTCAGCCTCGCAATGGCTGAGTTCTATCGTCATTCCCATTTTACAGATGGGAAAACCGAGCCCCCCCCCCCGGGGCAGAATCAGAGCAGGAGTTTGAGGCAGGGCTGTCTGACCCCTTCACGCGTGTGCCGTGCCAGAGCCGACTTCTAAGGCTGCCCACCCTGAGGATCAGCAGATGTGGAGCTGAGAGTGCAGTTGTTGTTGTTATCACTATTATTGGTATTAATAGTATTACTATTACTATTACTAGTGTTGTTGTTATTACTATTATTGGTATTAATAGTATTTCTATTACTATTACTAGTGTTGTTGTTATTACTATTATTGGTATTAATAGTATTACTATTACTATTACTAGTGCTGTTGTTATTGCTATTATTATTTTATCACTATTATTTTACTGCTGCCATTATTGAAACTTCTCCGGGACCTAAGGAAGGTATGGGTTGGAATATAACAGAAAAGAAAAGATCGGCATTTTCAAATGGAAACCCCCTTCTGCTTCACAGCGTAGTCTGTGCCCAGCCCCGCTGGACGGCAAGCACCCAGAAGGTCACAGCTACCAAATCAAGGCTTCTCTGCTGCCGCCTTTTATCTTTCCGTTAAGACGACAGGCGTGGATTCCCTGAGACACCACGAAAGCCCCATCTCACGCCCTGGGTCTTCCTGACGTTTCCGGAAAGCTGAAGGTTAAGACCAGATGCTCAACGAAAGCAAGACCCGAGTATTCCGTCTGCGGTTGACAGTCCCCTTTGTTCTGAGACAAGCGATCGTGCGGCTGGTGCCCTGGGCTCTCCTCTCCGTCCCTTTCCGAAGTGCGTTCCCCAGACCCCTGTCCTCGGGCTGCTACCCGAGCCTGCTCTGAGCCCACCGGGGCTCAATTGCACTAACGGTGTCATTCAGAGAGAAATGACACAGGCACGTTCCCCTGCTGCTGCTGCTGCAATGGGACTTCTTCCCGCCCACGGTAACCCTAAACGTGTGTCTCACACGCTGGCACCTGACCCAAATCAAAAATAATTTCAATCGACAAGCAGATAAAATTCGGGCTCCAGGTCCCCCGCGTCTCATGGGTTTCATTGCAAACCTGTCATCTCAGGCTCATCACCAGGTAGGAAGCTGAAGCGTTTGATAACAGGGTCTAAGACAACTCACAAATGTCTGCCTCGTAAATATTCCATCTTTCTCACTCGTACTAAAAATATATATATATCAATAAATAAGTTTTTATCACACACACACACACACACGTGCCAACCTGCCCAATGCAAAACTCGAGTCCACCGAATATTTTAAAGATCTATTCCTCACAGTTCACCATTGCACGGTCATGGAAACTACCCAAGTGCCCGTCAGTTCATGAATGGATAACTGAAATGTGGTATATGCTCACAGTGGAATATCACTCAATCCTAAGAAACGATAGTGAGCTAGCACCGTTGTTTACGCTATCGTGGATTAAGCTTAAGCCTGTAATACAAAGCCAGATTACACAAGACCTGGAAAATGGGCTACACATCTACTCGCCATCAAATTGGTACTGACAGCCTAAAACTAGGGGGTTCAAATAATTGCAGTGTTCAACAGGGATCTGGGGGGGGAGACCCACATCTTAAGGAGGTGATGAGCATTGTAGGGGGGAAAGGATTACCTTTATCCCTTTTTAGGGAGAGGCTAAGAAACACACTGCAACCAAAATGTCTAAAAAAAAAAAGAAAAAATTTGTTAATGGGAGGTGACCAGGTGGAAAGGGGGGAGAAGGGGAAGGGTACGCATTTTCATGGTGGGTGCAGGGCGCACCCCTTGGAGACTGGGCACACTTGAGGCTCTGGCAGAGCGGGGTGGGGAGGGATGGCAGGGGCAAGATATGTAACCCTAACAATATTTGTACCCACAGAATTTGGGAAAAAATAAATAAATAAAAATTAAAAAAATAAAGATCTAGTCCTATTTACAAAGGCAGGTTCCTGCTAATGCTATCTCACCGTGCTTCTGTGGGGAGGAACTGCCATAGCAGCAGGTGGTCTGAGATAGAAATAATTGCTTCGAGCCCTTTGACTTGAGCTCCCAAACCCCAGCAAACGTCCCAGCAAGTGCATTGCAGGTTGCCTTGCCATAACAGGCTCATAGATTTCTACCGACCGCGGTTGGGTTGCACGAGAGAGATCTTTGTTGCCAGAGTACCTACCCCAAGGTAATGGCCATCGATGAACACCACGGGGAGGGAAGGGGCTTCGGAAACTCGCCGACAGCGCTCGTCCAGCTCTTTCCCGTACTCGCCGTTCAGGGCTATGTTTTTCTCTTCGAATTTCACCCTGTGGTTTTGGAAGATCTTTCTAACCAGTTCGCACCTTTCGAAGGTCGTCCGGACCACACGGAGGCAGGTGGTGTAAATCACGACGCGGTCGAATTCTAGGTCGGTCGAAGGTTGCTGAAGGGAAAAAACAGTGTCGTTACAAGTGTGTTTGCTTTTACCGTGTTTCCCCCGAAAACAAGACCTACACATCAAATAAGCCCCAGCAGGATGTCTGAGCATGTGCACAGTAGAAGCCCTACCCCAAAAATCAGCCCTAGTGACGGGCGTGGCTGCGCAGCGCATCTGCACAACCCATGCGTGTCGTCGCGGAGCGGGAAAGAACACGAGCAGCCTTTCTCATCTGCCCCGTGAGAGCTCTAGTGCTCCACAGGGGAGATCGGGGCCAGTGGTTCTAAAGGAAACAGAGTCGCAAGACATTCAGGATGGGATTCGGGGTTTGGAGAGTGAGGATGATGTTCCAGAAGAAGACGACTTAACTCTATTTGAATCAATGCAGACTACTGCACTGTACTTAAAAAAAAATAACACATCCCCTGAAAATAAGCCCTGGGGTGTCTTCTTAAGGAAAAATAAATAGAAGACCCTGTCTTGTTTTCGGGGAAACACGGTAGCTCAGCTCTCAGAAGCAGCGGGCTGCAGACCCCAGCAGCGTTTCAGTGCTGTCTGGAATGCTTCCCTCTTCCGCCTTCTATCCCCATGGTAACCCTCGGGAATTCGGAAGAGGGACAGCAAACCATCCAGAAGCTATTTTTAGATTTCTGGCCAGATGCTTTGACAGCTCCATTGAGGGAAAGAAAATGAAGCAAATGTAGAAGAGGATTTTTTGTTGTTGCTGTTGTTGCCAAAGACAATATCATTTAAAATTCATATTATAAAACTGGAAAAGACCTTGAGAAATCATCCAACCTGTCCCCTGTCACTACCTCTAGGAAGACCTACGTCTAAATCATACCAAAAATTATACAATAAGACTTAAAAAAAAATTTTTTTTTTTTAGACAGGGTCTCATTATGTTGTTCAGGTTGGTCTCAGACTCCTGGGCTCAAGCGATCTTTCTGCCTTAGACTCTGAGAATGCTAGGATTGCAGGCATGAGCTACCGTGCCTGGCCATAAGATTTTTTTTAAAGAGCATTTGACTGAATAGCGTATCCTAATACATAAATACTATACTTCCTACCCTAAATTTGGCCCAGGTGCAATCTCAGTCCCTTAGCCCAAGGGAATTGGTAATGAGAGTGAGTATCATTGCTCAGTGTGGACTACACAACCTTGGGGTAACCACTCTTTTTTGACTACGCTGCTAACAGCCCTGCCTAGGTTTGCGCAGCACGCATCTTGAACAACTGTGCTGGACTGGCCATTCTTCATTCATCTTTTTGAAACATGAACCTGATTCGGGGCAACCCATTCCATCCTTCTTAAAAGCCCTCAGAGATTTCCCACTGCGCTGCTAATGTTAAAAGCCCCAAATCTGTAAAGCGGCTACAAAAAAACAACACGATATCAACCCTGCACACGACAATCTCCATTGACTCAAATAGAGCGAAGTCGTCTTCTTCTGGAACATCATCATCACTCTCCAAACCCCAAATCCCATCCTGAATGTCTTGCGACTCTGTTTCCTTTAGAACCACTGGCCCCGATCTCTCCTGTGGAGCACTAGAGCTCTCACGGGGCGGATGAGAAGGGCTGCTCGTGTTCTTTCCAGCTCCGCGACGACACGCATGGGTTGTGCAGATGCGCTGCGCAGCCACGCCCGTCACTAGGGCTGATTTTCATAGCCACGCCCACCACTAGGGCTGATTTTCATAGCCACGCCCATCACTAGGGCTGATTTTCGGGATGGTTGCTTCTATGGCGCACATACTCAGAAATCCTGCTGGGGCTTATTTCATGGGTAGGGCTTATTTTGGGGGAAACACGGTAGCTTAGTGGTTGCCAGGGGTTGGAGGAATAGGAGATTAGGCGACTGCCAGTGGGTATGGAGTTTCTTTTGGGGAGTGACGAAATGCACTAAAATTAGATGGTTATGATTTTGGCACAATCCTGTGAATATACTATTAATATAAAGCATTGGTAATAGATCATCTACTTTCATTTCTTTTTTATTATTATTATTTTAGCGTATTATGGGGGTACGAGTTGTTTCTGAGCTGAGGTTTCTGCATCCGGAAACACGGCAACACCACGTCCGGCATCGTGAGGAGTGAAGACATGCAGAATTCCTAGCATGGTGTCTGCTATATCCAGGCGTTACTTTTTAATTCACTGGGGAAAAAAAAATTTTTTTTTTTGCTTAAGACCTGAATTCTAGGAGCTGTCCAGAGTCTCTAGGTCCCCGATGATTTGTGGGGGGGGGGACCACGGGGCAAGGCGAGGAGACCCTATTGTGGGAGGACTTTGCAAACCAGCGCCGGGCTGCACCTGCAAAGGCTCCGTTGGAAATGGCCCGCTGGACTTGGGGATTCTCCTCCCACCCGAGGAGCTCAGCCTGCTGCACTGGGACCCTCTGCAGGTGCGGGGGTGGAGGTGGGGTGGGGGGATGGGTGGAGTTCCAGGGGGCGGTGCCAGTGGGGGTGGGGCTTCACAATGGTCCCAAGGTGAGCAGGTAACTAACGCACTTAGGGTTTCCCAGTGTGACTGCAGGACAAGGTGCTGTTTGTTTGTCATCCCCTTACCCTCACTTAGGGCAATTTCCACGCCTTCCAACACGTCTGCATGTGCTGCATGTTGTCGCAAGGCTTCCGGAATCCCTGAGATTCCTCTTTTTTAATCATTGGGGAGGACGAGATGGCCTGCCTCTCTCGCCATCTACCATGTTTCCCCCGAAAATAAGACCTACCCATAAAACAAGCCCCAGCAGGATGTCTAAGCATGTGTGCAATAGAAGCCCCACCCCAAAAATCAGCCCTAGTGATGGGCGTGGCTATGAAAATCAGCCCTAGTGATGGGCGTGGCTATGAAAATAAGCCCTGGTGATGGGCGTGGCTATGAAAATAAGCCCTGGTGGTAGGCGTGGCTATGAAAATCAGCCCTAGTGTGGGCGTGGCTGGCAGCGCATCTGCACAACCCATGCCTGTCGTCTCGCCTAGCGGGAAAGAACACGAGCAGCCCTTCTCATCCGCCCCGTGAGAGCTCTAGTGCTCCACAGGAGAGATTGGGGCTGATGGTTCTAAAGGAAACAGAGTCTCAAGACATTCAGGATGGGATTCGGGGTTTGGAGAGTGAGGATGATGTTCCAGAAGAAGATGACTTCACTCTATTTGAATCAGTGTAGATGGTTGTACTGTACTTAAAAAAAAAATAACACATGCCCTGAAAAATAAGCCCTAGGGTGTCTTCTTGAGGGAAAATAAATATAAGACCCTGTCTTATTTTCGGGGAAACATGGTGCCTAGCCCTCTTAAATGCGAATGGCCAAAGGGCTACACTGTCTTAGGACTGAGTGGTGACTTCTACCATGAAGAGACTGAAGCAGGGGTTGTTCTAGAAATCCCACTGCTCAGCCCTGTGCTTTCTTCTGGTCTCTGGTTAAATGTCACCCCCAGACAGACCTTCCATCATCACCTTGTGAAAAATAGCCGCTCTGTGCTCTAATCCAGTCCTTTCCTTTCGAGAACTGAGCACCGCTGGGCATCGTGTTGTGTATGTTGACTGGGTCATTGTTTATCCCCACCAATAAAACAGAACCTCACTGAAGTAGGGCTGTAGTTTCGTTCACTCGTGCAAAGAATCTAAAACACAACCTGGTACGTGGCTGATACCCAATAAATTCTTCCTGGCACTCTTTTTCCATGCACTTAATTAGAACCTGGTTTGAATCTCCCTCTCAGCAACTGGATAAATCTTGAACCAGTTTCTTAACCTCTTCATGTCCCATCTTTTCTTATCTTCAAATTAGGGACACCAGTGCCTACTTTATGGGGATTGGTGAAAATTAAATGATTTGATGAAGGGAAAAACCTTTAGCATGAAGCCTGACTCAGCACAAGCTCTCAGTCAGTGGAATGTTTTATTAATATTATTATTATAAAGTGTAACTGACACATATCAGCAGTAGCGCCACTATCATTAAAAGCAAAAAGTACAAATTCGCAGGCACCCTCAGCCTTGTAAGTTTAAATAGTGAAGTTTAACCTCGTAATTATACAACGATACAAAGAATCAGTTATGGAGGTAAATTGCTATTTTATATTTGTTTGGGATATTCCATCAGTTCTGAGAGTCACAACAACAGAATTGAGCATATTTAGGTGAGATGTCATAAAAATCTGTCTTCTGTAATCCCAGCACTCTGGGAGGCCGAGGCGAGCAGATCGCTCGAGGTCAGGAGTTCGAAACCAGACTGAGCAAGAGCGAGACCCCCCCCCCATCTCTACTACAAATAGAAAGAAATTAATTGGCCAACTAATATACATAGAAAAAATTAGCCAGGCATGGTGGCGCATGACTGTTGTCCCAGCTACTCGGGAGGCTGAGGCAGGAGGATCGCCTGAGCCCAGGAGTTGGAGGTTGCTGTGAGCGAGGCTGACGCCATGGCACTCGCTCTAGCCCGGGCAACACAGTGAGACTCTGTCTCAAAAAAAAAAAAAAGATCTGTCTTTATCCAAGTTCAGATTCCTCCTTGATGGCAGGAAGGAAATACCCAAGCATCATCTTTGCGTGCAAGATTGTCCGTAGAGAGTGACGACTGTTTTTCTATTGCTTCAGTATCTTGTAAATAAACTGATTTCGGTTATTTCCTTAGGAATTATCCACTTGCCCAAATCAATTACTGAATGGGCCTAGACATTAAGTGAAAAAGTCAATACACCTAATGAATCTCCCACAGCAAAAATAAATAAATATTGCCCCTGTTCCCCCTCCCCTCCCTCACTCCCCCCATGTGTCCAATCCCCCGGTGGGGGGTGTGCACCACACACGTTATGAAGGCATACATTCGTAACCCTGACAACATTTGTACCTCCATAATATGATGAAATAAAAGGGAAAAATAAATAAATAAGTAAAAACAAAGATTATTTTCCAAAAAGTTAAACTGAAACAACCTCGCTTTTATAGGGCATCTCTTAGGTCACGAAAATGAAGGCGCCTCCCTGACCCAGGGGAGCTTGTTAAAATGCAGATTCTGACTCGGGAGGGCTGGGTGAAGCCAGACCTTCTACAGTTTGCCACAAACTCCCAGGTGGTGCCAGTTCTCTGCTGGTCCTCAGCCGGCTTGTCCAGAAGCGAAGCAAGGCCCCCGTCTCTTTCTGGAAAATTTTCTAGTGCTCCGAGGCGGGAAATACAGCTTGGTTAGAGCCAGGAGGGGCTGCGTGGTGATTAGGAGGGAACTCAACGACATTCGTGGGCAGTGTGATCCCAGGCTAGCCCCTTCCTGATGTGGGGCAGGGTGTGTCAAAATGGACAGCCGCCCAGGATACGTCTTGGGGAAATATTAGGGGCCTGTGAAGCTGCTTTCAAACCAGTCCCGTGCTCAGACGTAAGCAACGGCTACCTGTGCCGGGATTTTAACCTGCCTGTTCACCGGTTAGGTTTTGTGTCATATCTCCCAACCCCGAAAAACCAAACAAACGTTAAGGCAACATTTCATGGACTTCCTTCCCTCCTCTGACTTTAATTGTCTACTTCCTGCCTTGTTGCCCAATTAGAGGATGATGGTTTGTGGCTAACAGCCCCCGCTGATCCCAGCCTCCCAGAAATACCATGGCGGCCTTCCTGCCAGAACAACCTCTTCTGCAGAGAAGCCCGTTGATGCTAAGAGATTCTTTTTTTTATTATTTATTTAAGAATATTCTGGGGGTACAAATGTTAAGGTTACAGGTTTTTTTATTTCAGCATATTCTGGGGGTACAAATATTAAGGCTATGTTGATTTTTTTTATTATTTCAGCATATTCTGGGGGTACAAATGTTAAGGCTATGTTGTTGTTTTTTTATTTCAGCATATTCTGGGGGTACAAATATTAAGGCTATGTTGATTTTTTTTATTTTAGCATATTCTGGGGGTACAAATGTTAAGGCTATGTTTTTTTTACTTCAGCATATTCTGGGGGTACAAATGTTAAGGCTATGTTTTTTTTTTATTTCAGCATATTATAGGGGTACAAATTTTTAAGGTTTCAAATAATGCCCTTGTGCCCCCTCTCCCCCCACAAGTCTGAGCTTCAAGCGTGACCATCCCCCAGACGGTGCACATCTCACTCATTATGTACGTATATACCCGTCCCCTCCAAAATAAAAAGTAATCTCTTAGTGTCACATCTTTTGTTTGGTGCTGTATAAACATTTGAGTGCAGGTGTCTTTTTTTAGACTGTCTTTGTTCTTTTGGGTAGATGCCCAGTAGTGGGATTTCTGGATCAAATGGGAGATCCACTTGTATCGCCTTAAGGTATATATTAATAAAATGTGGTATATGTATATACCATGGAGTACTATTCAGCTCTAAGAAACCACGGTGATCTAGCACCTCTTGTATTTTCCTGGATAGAGCTGGAACCCATTCTACTAAGTGAAGTATCCCAAGAATGGAAAAACAAGCACACATGGACTCACCAGCAAATTGGTATTAACTGATCAACACTAAGTGGACATATAGAGAAACATTATCGGGTTCGGGCAGGTGGGAGGGGATGGTATACACATACATAATGAGTGAGATGTGCACCATCTGGGGGATGGTCACGCTAGAAGCTGTGACTCGAGGGGGGATAGGGGGTAAGGACA